GAGATGTAAAGTGGCACGCATTGTCCCTAGTAGACTTTAGTAAGGACGCTTCGATAGTACTTTTTCCATAGATTATGGATCGTTGAAAAGTATCCTCAGAATTCTTTCCAAAGACGATAGAAAGGGTGGTGATTTGTGATCTTGTCGTCCCAAATTCTACTCGCCGTAATCCTAGAGTACGTGCTTGCTGTCTTGGGAGAGTCTTGCTAAGTAGATGTGTTCTTAATCAGCATCAGATATCGTCTATAAGCGAGTTTTCCGAGAAGTCCGGGCTTTTTAGTTTTTTCTCGTTTTACGCTCCGAAGCCTGCCGATGGGTTCCGGCTAAAATATTGATGATCTTGGATTGAAAGAAAATCGCTTGTAGAGGTTTTTGGACATGCTGGTTACGAAAGTACTGGTCTTTGGGTGATACAAGGTCTTCTTGCAGAGATATTGTGAGGTAACTGTAATTGCGTCATGAAAGTTCGTAATTTTGCCACTTTTGGCGTATCTGTCAGAGAACTTGCCTTATGCTTCATATGTTGAAGTAAGTGAGAAGTGTGCCATCGAATGATGAAACAGGCTCCAGTTTATAAAACACGCCGAGTTACGAGACTACGAAAACACGTCTCATAAATCTTGCCCAAAATGTAAAGTTCGCATACTTCGTTGAAATTACACCGTGAGTGGTTGCATGACATTCTGATTGCAAATATTATTTTTACTTCGCCCAAAGGGCCAATGTGTTGTATGGTGGTTGCGTGTTCTTCAGCTGCTTAACTGAATATCAAAGCAGTTAGAGCTAGCTAGAGCTCAGATCTACCTAATTAGCAAATCCAACACAGAATATACACTAAGCGATGTGAAAGGATTTGATCAGGTACCTGTTACGCGGGCACTCACGGTGGAATCTCGATAAGGCATGCCATCTTTACACTTTGGACAAAATTCATGAGGACGTGTTCTTGTAAGCTCGTTAATCGGCGACTTTATAGACTGGAGCTGAGACATGCACCTTCAATGGCACAATGCCTACTAAATTTGGCATATGAAAGCAAACAGGCAAGTTCTCTGACAGATACACGAATGCAGGCAAAATTACGAACTGTATGACACAGTCACAGTTACCTCACAATGTCTCTGCAAGAAGACCATGTATTATTCAAAAACTACTTTTCGTGACCAGCGTGTCCGAAAATTTGCACAAGCGATTTCTTTTCAATCCAAGATCACCAATATCTTAGCCGGAACCCATCGGCAGGCTTCGGAGCGTAAAAAGAGAAAAAACTAAACTCGGACCTCTTATAAACTTGCTCATAGAGGTTATTATCTGACCTGCTGATTAAGGAGCTCACATCTGCTTAGCAAGATGGCTTCGTATTTTAGCATTACGGCGAGTAGAATTGGGAACGACAAGGTATTCCACAGTTCACCACCCTTTCTATCTTCTTTGAAAAGAATTCTGCTGATACTTTTTAACGATCCATAATCTACAGAAGAAGTACTATCGAAGCGTCCTTACTGCAGTCTGGGACAATGCGCGCCACTTTACATCTTTGCGAGTAGGCGTCCGTAGAAAGATTCAGGAATACTGAAATCGGAATATCAAGAGCATGCTGTATATCGAAGGATTTGCCTCAATGAGCTGAGTACAATGCTTTCTTCGGATTCAGAATGCATTAACTCCAAAGGAAGTTACGACGAAAAGAATTTGGAAGCACATGATTTTTCCAGAATTTACCAACGTTTATATCTTTTTTGGAAAGAAGTTTGCGGCTACGCTTTGGCGCGCTTTGATCTACACGAACAGTGCTATCAAATATTACTTAGTGTTTCTTTTATGTTGGATAGGCGCTGCGTTACATCCTTGCAAACGGACCTTCGCATAAGAATTTGAGAAAACTGGGAAGGGAATACCAGGACATGCTGTACATCATAAGATTCGCCTTAACAAGCTGAGAACCGCTGTTTCGGATAGAGAATACATTCATTTCAAAGGGATTTATAGATACGCACTGCGTATTTTGCATGATTGCGTGGATTCCGCGAAATTCCTGGAAAGACGCGGACTTCCGGATTGTCGCGGATTTTCGCGGAAAATCCGGATTTCCGCGACATTCACGAAAATTTTGCACATTCTGAGAGTGGTATTATACTTATGTACACTATCCACATAAGACGTCTATATGCGCTGTTACCGTATTTTTTTCTCTGTTAGAAATCAAGAAAACTGTGATTTTCATGCGTTTGCCAAAGTGGTGCTGTGCCGTCCCCACATAAGTAGTTGTATGCTACAAACGTCGAAGTACAGACGTGAATTTTCAGCTCTCTACGAGCTTCATTTCTCGAGAAATTCAAATTTTAGCTTGGACCACATGACTAGGGAAAACTGTATTCGATATACGAGAACTAAAGCTTGTAGAGAGCTGGAAATTTAAGTTTATACTTCTATAGATTTGCAGCATACAACTAATGCGGGGACAGCACACCGTCACTTTGGCAAATGTACGAAATTTTCCGTTTTCTTGATTTCTAACAGAGAAAAAATACGGTAAGGCGCATATAGACGTCTTATGTGGATAGTGTTTACGTGAGCAAGTTAAAATTTTTGCAGAATTTTTTGAACTGAGCTACGATTTTTCTCGATTTTTTTAAGCAGTTGGATCTGTTTAGTTTTTGGCTCGAAACTCGAGGAAGAGGAAAGCTCTGATAAAAGCAAGATCAACTTTTTGTAGAGCTGCAACCTATTCAGAAATGAGAAGCGTATGACTTATTGCGGTTGGAAATCAAAACCTGCATCAATTTCCGGACGACTTAATACAAAAACTCAGAAACGACTACTGAGAATTACCTATCCTATACGAAGGCTTTTTTAAGAACAAAGCTCGCGTGGAAGCATTTTCAAGTGAAAATAAAGGGATAAGTATTTCTTAAGAAGGTATGGCAAGATGGACTAAAGCAACTGTTTTGACTTGTGACCATGTACACGCACAAAAGATTTTGGAAGCCAAGAATTTCTTAACAAATCTCTAAAGCAATGGAGAAACTGTTGTACAGTACAATTTTAAAATACAGTCCCGTTGTGAAAAGGCCGTCGTTTAAAAAATTTCAAAAAAATCCTCAATTTCGTACTAATGTCTTTCTGTGCTTTTTCTTTTTAAATTTTTACACGTTTTTAAATTCCTAAGCGATATGATTGCATCTTTGAGCAACACCAAGAAGGCAGTTGTTGCAATATATTTGGCACAACTCGTAAAAGAAGCAAAAGGCAAAGCACAAACTTTATCTTTAGTTGCTTGGTTTGCTTTCTGTGGCGATATAGGGCTTTCTACTTTCAAACTCTATCAAATGTCCCTACCGATTCTACAGTCGTAAAAAGTGGTTCTCGGTAATGTAGTTTAAGAAGCTAGTTCTAAATGTAGTGCTCAAATTACCAAGAAAACTTTCCATACAAGGGGGTCACTGAAGATCGTTCTGTAAATTTGTAGCATCCTTTATTCCCGTAATAAGTAAGTTCCACCTATGAAGTTAAGAAATTTTTCCTTAATAATGAAGAATGCATTGGTTGATATACCTAAGGGGAATTTCAAGCCATACAACTGAGCTCAACTCGGGTGGAAAAAACGGGGTGCGGCATATTATCCGCGGCGCAACCGTCGGAAGGTCATAACTCCGTTCAAAATCATTTTTACAGGTTTTTCTGCTCATTTTTGGAAAGCTACTGGCACAAGGATTCAGAAAAACATAAAGTTTTCCAAAATCGCATGTCCTCAAGAGAATCAGCACTATCGCGACGGAATTGCCAAAGACAAAACCGTCGCATGGTCGTAACTTGATTTAAAATAGGAATTTCGGATTTCTGTCTGTATTTTTGAAATGACCGCATCATAATGGTTGGAAAGACATAATAATTTTTGAAAATCTACTTTTTTGGGAGATTTTAGCAGATATGCGATAGAAAAATCGCGACGAAACCGTCGCAATCGCATAATAACTTGGAAAAATAATTTTTTTTTGAGTTTTTGCTTTAATTTAAGTCCTTTGACGTTACGTTGATCCCCAGCAAATAAGATTTTTGAGAAAAAATCTTGTCCCTCATGGGTTTCTTGAAGCTGCGACGGGATAATCGTGACAAAACCGTCGCAGTGCGTTTGCGGTCCTGGAAGTGATCTTTTTTTGACTCTAACTTCAATATCAGAATCCAGTACATACGCTGACTCCATCAACTTGCGTTTACGACAAAATGGCTCCATGAAGAGATTGGAGTGCGATGCGACGGTGATATACGCATTTGAGCGTCGTGCACTCATAACCTCAGGCAAGTGCACGAACATCTTAATTGTTCACTGAGTTCGATTGTATATGGAAATAAGATATGCAAAGGTGAGTTTTTTTTTGTACATGTTACGACCATGCGACGGTTTTGTCTTTGGCAATTCCGTCGCGATAGTGCTGATTCTTTTGAGGACATGCGATTTTGGAAAACTTTATGTTTTTCTGATTCCTTGTGCCAGTAGCTTTCCAAAAATGAGCAGAAAAACCTGTAAAAATAATTTTAGTCGGAGTTATGACCTTCCGACGGTTGCGCCGCGGATAAAGTGGAGTACAAAATATGCACTGGTTTGCAAAAGATTCGCCTATTTCTGGTTACAAATTTAGTTTAAAGCTTTCAAACAAAAATTGGAAGAAAGTTCAGCGAAAGTTATACAAGGTAAAAACAAAGGTTAGTAACTCCGGCGTCACCTAATATTATAATTGGTGGCGGATAGAAAGGGAGGAAAATTGAAGTCTATGTAGAAATGTGCAGGCAATTCAATTGCACTCCAGAATAGTTTCAAAATCATCTAATTTATGCTCAAAAATGCGGATAGACTTTGTGACAAATCATTGAAACCTTGCTGTCGCCACCCTGTTTTTCCAGGGATATAGATCGCTAGTTGCCCGCTCCGCCTCCCCTCAAAATCTTCGAATTGTCATTGATGTGCGTTACACTTCTGTTTTCATGACTTACTTGACGTACTAAGCTGTGAAATAGTAACGCGTTCGATAGTGCTCGTTTTCTTTCCTTTTTCTTACATACTGCATGTAAATGGCGCTTTCTGAGCTGATAAAAATCAGTTTCATTGAAAGAAAAAGATTCTAATTCGGACACGGATGAGTAGACAAATGAAACTATACATCATATAAAAATACAAACCTTCAGTTTGAAAGGTGCAATGTACCAACCAGAAAGGTTCACAAAATACAGCGCAGGAAAGATTGACTATGACTTCTCCCTGTAAGTTCTTCAATAAGGAAGTAAAAGTAATTCAATCAAAGCAGCTGTTAAACTTTTTGTTAGTATACCTCGGTAATTCAAAGGTTTTGCTGCCTTTCTAGCAATCTGAGCCGTTACTACTGGTTTTCTTGGTTTTGCTTACGGGAAAATAAAAGGGAAATTTGTGTTTCATTTCAGTTTTATTTTTCCTGAGTTCTATGTTGTTATTACACTTCAATCTTAAAATTTTTATTTATGCGTTGTATTTCCTTTTACACCTCCACTTCAATTTGAGACTCCATTGATAATGAACTATAAATCTTCTGCGGTGCTCATCGATATGAGTTTTGTGACAATCGCGCTTCTCTGAGGGATCTCGCGATGGGCAGCCAACATAAACGATAGCTTGTGCCACCCATATGCGTTGCGTGGGTTAATATCAGGGTAAAGCGGAGGGTGCGGCACGCCGCAGGGGGTGGGGGGTCGTTAGGGGGGGGGGGGTAGGTAGGGGGGGGGGGGGTCGTATCGACCCAAGGTCAAAAGCACTTGTACAAGCTGTGTGACTAAATTGACTTGATGAAAGCGCTGTTGAAATCCTGCAAAATTCAAGTTCAACGACACAAACTTGCAGATACCGTATGCCTACCGTAACCTACCGTACCTCTAATCAAGCATAATTGTCGTAATCCGCGTGTCGAGTAACCCCATGCGCCAAGTTTCAGCGAACTCTGAGGTCTCCGAGCAGTAAACAACCTTGTATAAAGCAGTAATTTAAAACATGATTAACTTCATCTTAACGGTGAGTAAGCTACCTCTTCTTGCACTCAATACAAAGCACTACTCCTTCTTTGTTCACCTCAGGAATCCCGCTTCAGAAGACCTCCAAACTATTGAATTAGAAGCCAACCAAAATCTCGTTTTTCTCATTTTTCGCTTTTAATCGTTGTGCTTTCACCAAATATTACTCAGAGCTAAGAAGACGAATCAGGCTCAAAACATCCCTATGGAATCTACGAGGTTTAGGTTATTGATTCATATAAATATTGTCCGCTAAAAATGTTTTTTTGATATAGTTAATGGCCTGCGGCACACCCCCCCCCCCCCTCAAAACCTGCGGCTGCCGCACTGATTCGTCTTCTTAGCTCTGAGTAATATTTGGTGAAAGCACAACGATCAAAAGCGAAAAATGAGAAAAACGAGATTTTGGTTGGCTTCTAATTCCACAGTTTGGAGGTCTTCTGAAGCGGGATTCCTGAGGTGGACAAAGAAGGAGTAGTGCTCTGTCTTGAGTGCGAAAACGGATAGCTAATTCACCTTTGAAACAAAGTTAACCATGTTGGAATTTAACCATTTCACTTAGGTAGCCTAGTATCTTGAATCTTCAGAATTCGCTCCTTTGTCTACAGGGGTTAATTGACATGCTCATTATGGATATGTTGCCCATTATGTTTGACAGGGCCTCCAAGTAATGCTATCTTAAGGGTATAGTCCAGGGGGGGGGTCTTATTAAGACAGCAATCAGGGGGGGGGGTCGTAACCAGCGATCGTGTGCCACACCCCTTGCTTGACCCTGGTTAATATTTTTCGAATTTTATGTTTTCTCTGTGCTGGTATTGAAAACCGTAGTGATACAGTATGCTTATTTCCAGCTATCGTTCATCTTGGCGTACACCCAATTCTCGCACTTCAGGAGGTGCGAGGCGCCGTGAAGATCTCTCGGCGAGAGATTGTGGAGTACAGTCACTCATAGTAGCTCAGCTGCAGCGCTGAGCTACAGGCGGCTGCCTGGGTAACACTTGCACGCCTCCCCCCTCGTCAAATACCAGCGATGGCAATTTTCAATACTAACGGCGGTACTCGGTAATTGATTGCCGACTGTTGATTGTCCCAACAATACGCATCTAATATGCTCGAACTGGATATATTTATTTATTTAGGTGGCGAATGCGTAAGAGCTACCTAATCAATTGTTAATAAAGTGTTCAGAAGATGCTTGTGTGCTTTAGCCAATAATTCTATGTTCAAATTTACAACAAAGTGGCATTCTTGACAATACTGTCGTGAAACTGATGGACAAAGAGCAAAATCAGAAATACTACAAGGTTTGCTCTCTATAAACCCCCTGTTATGGCTTGGTTCTTGATGTTGTGGACATAAGTTTGAATCCATTATTCGCAAGAGCGAGCTGATATAATTTCCAGGATTTTCGCCTGTCATTTGACTGTTTACTCTTCAAGACTGATACAGTGCTGGCCAAAACTATAATTCCACCCTGAAAACTGCCGTAACTCATCTGCTTCTCAACGAATTAATCTGAAATTTGGTACAGTTGTGTGTTCGACAAGCTACCATCAGTAACTAGAAAGGATCCCGTTTTTGTTCGATCATTCAGGAAAAAATTAAAGATTTTGAAAAAAGCAGGTTTGAAGGTTGGCCAAAACTATAATTCCACCTAAGATTTTTGTCCACCATGGTAAGTCTCAGCTTCCAAAGTCTTTTGTGCATATACTAGTCAAAATTCAAAACAGTCGCTTTAGTCCAGCTGTGTCATACCCCTTTGTAGAAAAGGCTTATCTGCTTTTTTTCACCCAAAAAAACTTTCACGCGTATTTTGTTCCCGAGAATGTGCTTTTATGGGTGATTTCGCAGTTTCTTGACTGGCTTGGAAGCGATAGGGGTCCATCTATCTTATAGATGCTTAGCAAGTGATGACTAGAAAAAAATTTGAGTTTTCATATTCAAAGTGCACCCGACATAGACCTAACAGCAAGCCTGCGCTCATATTTTTGTCTTCAAAATTGATTTATGTTATTTTTGTAAGCTCAACATGATGTAAAAGGAATATTCACATGAAAAGAAGTTTGTACACTATACTCACGACTGTTCGCCATGTCGCATTTTGCTTCGTTTTCAAAGTATAAGGTTGCGGTTGCGGTTCAATGATAATATTTAGGCAATCCCAAAGTACTGACCAAGTGGTACCTTTCCCTATTTTTGCCACTATTTAGTTGCTAGATAGAGAAAACACCCTGTATAGTATGTTGCCTTGTGACTTACGTGAGCATTACGGTCAGAACCAAAATAAGTTCAAGGCTTTTTGCAAATCAGTTTTTGCAGATTGAATTCCTCAATTAGCCTGCATGCTAGGACCTGCGGAAATCTGCAACCACTGCACCCGGACTCTCATATGTGCAACAGTGTTATTACTTTACTTCACGCTCATGAGGACATTGAGGAGGAGTTTGAGGGCATAAATTTGAGCGCAGGCCTGCGCTTAGGTCTATGTTGGGTGCCCTTCAAATATGAAAACTCAAGGTTTTTTTAGTTCTCACTTCGCTAAGCATCTGTAAGATAGATGGAGCCCTATCGCCTCCAAGCCAGTCAAGAAACTGCGAAATTACCCATAAAAACACATTTTCGGAAACAAAATACGCGTGAAAGTAATTTTAGGCGAAAAAAAGCAGATAAGCGTTTTTTATAAAGGTATTACACAGCTGGACTAAAGCGACTGTTTTGACTTTTGACTATGTATATGCACAAACGACTTTGGAAGCTGAGAATTACCTTGGTGGACAGAAATCTTAGGCGGAATTATAGTTTTGGCCAACCTTCAAGCCTGCTTTTTTCGAAATTTTCGATTTTTTCCTGAATAACCAAACAAAAACGGGATCCTTTCTAGCTACTGATGATAGCCTGTTGAACACACAACTGTACCAAATTTCAGATTAGTTCGTTGAGAAGAGATGAATTACGGCAGTTTTGAGGGTGGAATTATAGTTTTGGCCAGCACTGTATTAGGTTGTCCGGAAATCAGTGCATGTTTTGAATTCCAACCGCAATAAGTCATATACTTCTCATTTCTAAGTAGTTTCCAAAACATCATTCGATAGAACAAAGCAAGCCCTAAAATGGCTTTTTGTTTTAGCAGCTCTGATCCACCACGAGTTTCGAGCCAAAAACTGAAAAGTTTCAACTACCCGAAAGATTGAGAAAAATTGTTACTCAGTTCATAAAAATCCTACAAAAATTTAACTTGCTCACGTAAACATTATCCACATAAAACATCCATGTACGCCATTGCCATATTTCTTCCTCTGTTAGAAATCAAGAAAACGGAAATTTTCGTTCCTTTGCCAAGTGCTGGGCCATTCCCACATAAGTAGTTGTATACTACACACCTATAGAAGTACAAACTTAAATTTCCAGCTCTCTACAAGCATTAGTTCTCGTGTATCAAATACAGCTTTCCCTAGTCATGTGGTCCAAGCTAAAATTTGAATTTCTCGAGAAATAAAGCTTGTAGAGAGCTGAAGATTTACGTCTGTACTTCCACGTTTATAGCATACAACTACTTATGTGGGGGCGGCACAGCACCACTTTGGCAAATGCACCAAAATTTCCGTTTTCTTGATTTCTAACAGAGAAGAAAAATAGGGCAACGGCGTATAAAGATGTCTTATGTGGATTGGGTTTACATGACAACTAGAATTTTTTGCAGGATTTTTATGAAATGAGCTACGATTTTTCTCAAGCAGTTGAATCTTTTTAGTTTTCGGCTCGAAACTCGTGGTGGACCAGAGCTGTTGCTAAAGCAAGAGTGCCACTTTGTAGAGCTTGCTTTATTCTATCGAATGATGTTTTGCAACCTACTTAGAAACAGTGTATGACTTATTGCGGTTGGAATTCAAAACCCGCATTAATTTCCGGACAACCTAATATATCTGACCTTAACCCCCGCGAACCGCGGGAAACAAGAGCTGATAATAAGCTAGTTTGGGCTTTATTACGATAACGCAGTGTCATTGTCAGCTTGCTGTAATATTCTTCGTTTATTTGCTATCCACAGGATAAGACGGTGTCGCTTTGGTGACTTGTAATCATATAAAACAGTTGAAAACACTGAAAGCGAGTTAGTGCTTGTACTCAACGAGAAACTACGACGGCAGTAGCGAAAACGCACAGCCCTGCATTATCAGTTTTCAAAAGACATGCGATTTTTGACTCCTCAAGCTTTTTTGCGCAAATGTGTTTTGCAACTTTGTGCAAAACGCATTATTGCAGAAAATTGGACAACTTTTACTGGGTATTCCTCTAGAACTCAAAATGGAGATGGAATGTTCGCAAAGTTGGAGCAAATGTCTTGGATAAGAGCTGGTAAGAGGATCTGAGAAAAAGTTTCGAAAGATTTGAGAGGATTGAAGACAAACCATTTTTTTATTGCTTTCAACTTACAAGCCTCAAGGGCTTTATGGACAGATGCACATGCTTCGTCTTCAAGCTGAGTGTGCTCTTTAGAAACCTTCCTGTTTATGGGTAATGTTAAGGGTCGTGGGGTGTGGCATGCTACACCTGGGGGTCGTATTGAGGAATCAGGGAGAGAGGTGGAGGGGGGGGGGGTCGTCATCCAGGCGTCCGCTGTTCGCATAACATGATATTCGTTAAGAATGCAAACAGGCCCGTCATCCAAAATACTAGCACATTGATATTTGACTCATTATCTATTCGTACAGTACGCATAACTAGAGATCTATAAAGCATAAGAGCATCGTTTTGTAATTAGCAAGTAAAATAATCTTGTGGTACAAGTTTTAGCGAATTTTGAGGTTTTCGATACAGGACCACCTAAGTGAGAATGGTCGTTTGTAAACATGTTATTTTTTCAAATGTAAGTTACTACTTCTTTTTGCGCTGAATACAAAGCTACTATTTCTTTGCTCACATTAGGAATCCTACTTCAAATGGCCTCCAAATTAAAGAATTAAGAGCAAGGCAAAATCTCATTCATTTCATTTGTCGTTTTCAATATCTCAGGCTAGAGAAGACCAATCAGGCTCAAATTACTTTAATGTAGATTACGAGGCTTAGGCTATCGAGTGTATACATGCTTGTCGCCTTCTCTTGCGATTCACATAGTAGCGCAGACTTAGCATGTTACCGTATTTCAATATTTTCGCAGCATTTTGCCAGTATTTTACATTTGCATAGGTAAGGAAAAACGATTATATCTTGCACTTGAAGGAACGTTTTCATATGAAGATGTGCTATGTAAAGAAGAAGGTTAAGCAGTAACAACGGTATAAAAAACGCAGCTATCTGAACTGTTTGAAGGGAAGTTAATGGGGTGCGGCACCACCCCTCTAAAAAGCTGTGGCAGCCACAGCTTTTTGGGGGTAGCGCCACATCCTATTAACTACATCAAATAAACTTTAACGAACGTTATTTATATTATTCTATAGTAGATACGAGGTTTAGGCTATTCTCGTAGAATTTATAGGAGTGATTTGAGCCTGATTCGTCTTCTTAGCTCCAAGTAATATTTGGTGAGAGCACAGCCATTAAAAGCGAAAAATAGGAAAAACAAGATTTTGGTTGGCTTCTAGTTCCAAAGTTAGAAGGTCTTTTGGAGCAAGATTTCTGAAGAGTGGCCAAAAAAGAAGTATTGCTTTGTGTTGAGTGGAAAAACAGCTAGCTACTCTACCTTTGAAACAAAGTTAATTATGCTGGAGAGCGGCGATTTCACTTAGAGACCCAGTATCTTGAAACTTCAGAATTTGCTCAAACATTGTCTACAGGGGTTGATTGACATGCTAATTATGAACATGTTGCCCGTAATGTTTGGCAGAGCCCTCAGGTAATGCTATCTTATATATAAAGCTGAATGTCTGTTTGTCTGTATGTCTGTCTGTATGTATGTCTGTCTGTACGTATGTTCCGAATAGAAAATTCCATTTCTCAACCGATCCGGACCAAACTTAGCACATATACACTTCGGGCCCCGGCGGGTGTCACAGTCCACTTTTCGTTATCGATCGATGTCGATTTTATCGATTTTTTGCAAAATTTGAGCTAGGGGGCTGGAATTTGGCAGAAGGGTGTAATCGAGCATGCTGATCACCTCCCCCCCCCCTCGATCGATGACGAAAAGTAGCCTATGACACCCGCCGGGGTCCGAAGTGTACGTGTGTCAAGTTTGGTCCGGATCGGTTAAGAAATGGAATTTTCTATTCGGAACATACGGCGGAGCCGGGTAAGCCAGCTAGTTATGTATATAGTTCAGGAGGTTTTATTGAGACAGCAGTAAGAGGGGGGGGGTCGTAACAAGCGATCGTGTGCCACACCTCTTGCTTGACCCTGGTAATGTTCTTTCGGATAAATTGTTGATGCGCAAACCTTCGAGTCTCTACACCTACAAGGCGGTGTCTCACCCGCTCAAATTACGGCAAGAAGCCAAAGTTTGTAAAATTCAGATATTGATCCTGGTGAGATGCTTTCAAGTTTTGCTTTAAAGCTCATGAAAAAAACATCCAAACTTCAAAAATTGTCTGTCAAAATCTAATAAGAAAAGCACACCTTATTGCAGCGACTTGCAAATTGTTGAATAACTTCGTCCCCAACTTGGATCACGTTTTTGTTGGAATGGCTGCAAAAGAAGAAACTCTGGAAATGTGATTGTAGTTGCAAGAAGGTTGTGCGACAAGACTTACCTTGTTTTTGTTCCTACCTCGGCAACGAAATAACGATCTGAACCAATGGCCCATGGCTCGGGTTTTCTGGGAATTTTTACCTGTGGTACGAAATTTGAGAAAGCGTTGAGCACTTCTCTACACTTGATCATGCGTGTTAAATGCTCAGCAAAGCAAATTACCTACTTTGTTATTTTTCAAATTTCCAATTACGTAACAGATAAGCAGATACTCAAAGTTTTCTATATTGTTACAGGACCCTGTAAGCACCTCTTTCGGCACTGGGCAGGCGAGTGAGATTTTGAGCGCGATCTGAATCAGTATAGCATGCGTAAAATAGTTAGTAAAATATCTACAAAGTTTAGAACTAACCGCAAAGGTTGTTAGCCAAACAAAAACATACATGGCTGTGCGAATATTGCTCTCTAATAACTCTATATATAGATGAGAACAAAAAGATCACGTGCAATAATGTTCCACCTTTAAGGCAGAATAATTGGTTGATTTCATTTATGATAGTGCGCCAAATAGTGGAGTGTATTGCGGGACTATACATTTCCACTTGTTGTTAGTAACCAGGGCACTGCCTTTTACAGTGAAGAATCGTATTCTAGTTACGTGCTTTTTTCAGTACAAGAGCATTCTTGTAATTGCAAGTCACAGTCAGTTTCCACAAAAAAGCTCGCTCAGATCAAGACAGGATTTATTCTGCAAAAAATTCTACTTTGTGGAAAAATGGCATGTAATAATTTGAAAATGTCGATACAAAAAAAGTATCTTTGTTCAGCCCTTTTACCTCTGCAAGTCAAGTTGTTCCAGAACCTGCAAGATTACAATAGCCAGATGCGCGTATGTAACCAGATAGCTGGTTCCAAATCTGCCGTTTTGCAAATCTCTCAAAAATATTCAAGGCTATCTCAACTTATGTCACAGCCCTACGGTTTAGATTCGCGTAGCTTACTCGTTTGGGCCTTGCGCTACGTTTGCGAACGCATCATTCGGGCAGTTTGTCAATCTTCAACTTTTGGCAGCGCCGCGAGCAAACCATTTAATTTCTATCTTCCACTTCGTTTTCTTTTCCTTAATTCAGGAGCTTTCTTAACTCCTAAATTGCCTCGTTTTTGGTGTAACAATTATTTCCTACGAAAAAGCAATGTTTTAGATTTTCCTGTATTGATCAGGAAAAAGGCTATGAGACTTTTATTTTGCTCATGTTTCTCTTTTTCTTAACTCGAAGCTTCATTTAGCTTCTACGTTGCAAAACTTTGTGGAAATGGTACGAAATGGTATACAGATACTCCAAAAAACAAGCAAACACCGAGCAGTTTTTTTTCTGCTCCTACCATAAGTGGACTTGGCCTTGCATGTTTGACATTATGTAATAGGGAAAAAAGGAACTGTCGCTCTAGGCAATGGAACTTAACATCACAATCAGAAGAGATCTTGTTGAATTCTAGACACTTGGGAAAAGAAGCACAGAACAAAAAAAAATGGCTAGAGAAGCGATCTTCAGTTGACCCATGATTGCCTGACAGAATGTCCGGATAGTATGCAGCAAAGGCAGCAAGCGAGGGCAGCCGTGAGGTCCCGAGCCGCGGAGCGGTACTCCTTGGAACGTCTTGTATGCGCTCTTTGAGTAGCTGTATCCTTTTACTGTAGTCGGTTCATTTACTGCATCATTATCCACTTTCAGAAATTTGTGTTCATTTTTTCTGTCTTAACCTTTAAGCTTTACAAATTTGGATATTCAAGCGCTCAGTCTTTTTCACAAAGTTCTTCCGCAGAAAAGAAAGCCAGATTTGTAATTAGCGTCGGAAAACGCGTTTGGTATCAGTGCTATTTCATTTCCTTGCTCGAGCCAAACGATCATTTTGTAGTTGCCAGCATTTGAGATTTTTGGAAGCGCAAATTCTACCCGTATTTGCAGTGTACATGGCCATGACTTATCTTTAGACATGGCTGTCTACGCTTTTCAAGATGCTCTCAGAAATGTATTTGCTTTTTATAGCTGCTTCATACTGGAACAGTTTCAATACAGGTACGACACTAAATTCGCATGTGCGCGAGGGACTACGTCATGATTGAAGGAATTGAAAACTTATGCGAATAGTATGTGAACTTTTTTCATCAATCGGAAAAGTTTCAGAAGGCAGCGGCTAAGCTCAATTCTGGCCCTTTGCTCAAATAATTTTGCAAGATTTTCATTGATTGCGCTCTTGCTTTGACTGCTAAGACAACGCCTGCTCTTCATTTTCACCTGATTTTTGGTGTTCATTATGCCTGTCTTTTCCTTTCATTCACTTGAACAGTTTCAATTTTTGAGCTTTAACCATTTTGCAGTAACATGAACAAATGGGTTCAAGCTTTGACCTGGAGTGAAACGCGTTTGACGCATGCCTGTAGAGTTACTGGAAACATCGATCGGTAGTAGTCTAATCGAAACTCCAAATACAGCACGATGACGAGAGTGCCGCGCAATCATGCACGGCATCCTAAATTTCCTAAATTTCAATTTTAATGTGCACATTCATCTAAGTTGTGTTCATACAATTGATATAAGCTCAAAAGTTTTTGTGCTAACTCTTTGGGAGAAACATACACACTCCGTTGCTTTCAACAAAAAACTTTTTTCAAAGTGCTCAAAGCGCATAGAAGTCACAGTAACCGTAAATTCTCAGCGACTTCAACCACGATCCCACGAATTCTTAAACTTCAAGCAAATTCGTCATTTTTTGAAAGAGTGGGCGGGGCCTGTCACAAGAGGTGGAGCTGCCTTGTCCTATTACATTAGGTCGTTAAGAAAGTTTCCGAGCACTTGCGAAAATCTTTTTCAAATCGCTGCAACTTCAAGCAGATTGATTCGTTTTTAAAGCTACAAACCTCATTGCAAAGACATTTCTGTCTACAATTTATATTTGTCTTGCTGGCTTTTCAGCATTGCGGTCCGCCAGCATGCGCAGAAGGGAAAAAGTCGACGCGAAAAATGACCTATTTGTGCAGGATTATCTCAGGCACGATGAAGTTGGAGAGCTTAAATGCTGTAGTTATATAAAGGTCTGCTGAGGCGGTTATGGAGACTATTTGAGCCTTTAAGCGACCACAAAGAAAGTTTTCCAGAAAGTTTGAAAAATCGATTATTTTTTGCCCCTAAAAATGCACCATTTTTCGAGTAAGCGACTTTGAAATCTTCTAGTTCTGCACAGGATGAACCAATCTTTGATTGCTGCGAACATTGTTAGGGTAATTTCTTATGCATCTTTTGGATCCATCACCCAGGAGTGGCTATGTTGCGACGCCAGTTGCGAAAGGAGTTGCAGTCAGAAGCAAGCTCTACAGCTTATAATTTTTGAGCGCAAACCGCAAAACTCGAGTACAGCTACGGGTTAATTACAGGCTCCTCAGTCGGATCGCCCATGATTTGAACGAAATTCTTTGAACTGCACAAAAAAATGACCGCAGGAAAAAAATTCGTGAGATTTTTATGGATGGGAAAATTTTCTTTTTTTTTTTTGATGCGCAGATTAAACACGGTTTGGCGTCGATAAAGATCAGAGGCGGTTTTGAAACTGTAGGCTTTTCGCTACTAAAGAGTGAAGAAAATTCGGTATAAAAATGTGCAAACGCCTTGTTTATTTTTGTAAATAATTAAAATGTTTTTTAAAATTTTTTAAAAATTCAAATTAGCCTTATAAAAAATTTTTTTCAGGGGCTTGGCTGACGCCACGCCCCCTTTTTCCAAATTTTAGGGGTTGGGGACCCTCAAAAATCTTGAAAAGCACCCCGAAAATTTTTTCGGAGTGCGTGGCTAACGCGACGCACCTTCATTTAGAAAAAATTTTTGTGCCCCCCCCCCCGGAATCCTGCGACCGCCACTGATGCATGCATTGTACACGAGGTGGGACCTAGAAAAGCGCAGAAGTCTCATACAGTGACAGACATGCAGATTTCGTACCGTCGCCAATATGTTGAAGCGGCAAACGGCAAACGTTATCCTCGTCGTATTCTCGCTTACCTGGGGTTATCCAGTGCGCAGATCCCGAAAATCCACAGAGAGTTTGAAAATGGAAAACGAGCGTTTTTCAATGCCCATCGCTTTGAAGTTGGACGAGTGAAGCAAGGCTGAAGGCGCTGCATCGTTGCGGGACCCAGTGTTTATAGTATTGCGGCGGGCAGCCTCCAATGGTAAGACGAAAATAGCCAACTCGTCCTAGCGCGTTTAAGACTGGCTTGCACGACTAAATCTGAGAGCAATTTTCTCGGCAGGGAAGGCATGCTGTGCGACCGAGATTGCACTGTTTTCATACTGGGTGATAAGCAACCTACCGCGTAAAAATCCTGAGCTATTAAGTTTTGCCGATCCACTGCTTTCAAAGGCACTGGCTCGGCAAAACCGAACATCTCGAAATTTTGATATAGAAGGTTGCTTGCATCTCAAACTTGAGAACAGAGCGGGTCCCAGCGCACAGCACGCTGCCCCTACCTAGAAGACTGCCCCTAAACCCGTTAACCCGTGCAAGCCATTCTTACACGCATTCGGAAGAGCTTGCGATCTCCCTCCCGCCGTCGGAGGCGGCATGCCTCAATGTTGTAACCATGAGAGTCATATAACGACTTTACTTATCTAACCATGGCGGAGATTTGGCGGGGGAGTGTTCCAGTCGTCTAAATTCAAAATGAGGGGCCTTGAAAAATGCTGGTTTTCGCCATTTTCGCCCTCTTCAAGGTCTATTTTTGGAGCCAGCACGTCGAATTACTATAGGTGAGCAGAAAAACTGCAGGTCAAGGATTTGCCGAGCCGATCTGCCTTCAAGGAGGCCGTATACGTCTTGAAGTGCCGCCATATGCTTTATCTCAAATCGCTCTAACAAGTTGAAGATTCGAAAATTTTCGTAGAAATTCAAAAGTAAAGTAAAGCAATTTCGTAAATTCGTCCTTGTACAGTAGACACGCAGTGGTATCCAAAAATGATTTGTGGATTTTTTCCGGGGCTCAAGATTAAGAGACAATAGCCCGAAATGCAAAGTCACCTTTTTTGGTTTTTTTAAAGGTTAAGCTTGGTATTTCTCGATCACCACGGCTAAACTAAGGCTAGTATACAATGACATACAGTGAGAAATAACCGCCAAAAAGGGGCGCCCTCGTATTCAATGTC